GATTTTGAGAATTTACAGCACTGGAGAAGTCTGAGGGCTTTTTAAGCTTCAAGCATCTCTCAGAACTAAAGTAATTTTTATCGATGCACAAGTAATCTCTAAGCATTTTTGCAGAACTGTTCGATATCCGGAAATGCTCAGAACCTGTGAACTTCAAGAAATTCTGGAACTCTAAGACTACAAGAACTGTAGAACTGCAGGAACATCACGGACTGTAGGAACTAAATGATTCAACTGGACCAAACCTAAGGACTCTTGAGCAAATCAACGCCAAATAGCGGAAAAATTAACAAATTTCCAATTTGACCTCTCATAACACTTTGCAAAATTGTTCGCTAGGAGCAATAAAGCAAGGTTGTGCTGGAATTCGGCCATTTTGACTGCGCCCAATTTTTCAAAAGGGCGTATTCACGAAAATGGCTCATCGAATTGGGGTTAGAAGGAAAGGGGCGTTAGTCACTTTAATCGATTCTCTTCATAGATTTTCTCTTTTAATAGCCACAGCTTTATAAACAGATTTTGCGCTATTTCTGCCCAGAGTTAGATAGAGGAAGTTCTCATCTAGCATCCAGAATGGCACACGAATCAAGAAATGTGTTTGCAGCTGAATTATTAACGAAAGAGAAAGTCGATGAAAAGAATTGATGAAAGTCACTTACACCCCTTTCCTTCTAACCCCCTCAATTTAAATGACGTTTGTGAAAAAGTTGTAAAAAGTCTGGATTGCCTTTTACACACTGTAAAAAAATCACAAATTTTGGTCAAAAAAATATGTTAAAAACTTCAATTGCAAAAAGGCGCTTTTTAAAGATTTTCAAACTTGTGATATGATGAAACATGATGACTTTTCCTATATTAAGCATAATGGACACTTATAAATTGACCAGAATTAAAAAAAAAACATCAACTGTTAGTAACATGTTTGAAATTTTTCTTTTCGCACATTTTTTGAACATCTTTAGCAATTTTGAAAAATTAGGTGTTTAGAGGCGAACCAGCCTAAGGCTGAAAGCCTCCTAAATAAAGCTAAATAATAATAATAAAATTAGGTGCGAGTTCAAATGGCTGAATTCCAGCACAAACTTGGTTTACTGTCCCTAGCGGACAATTTTGCAAATTTTGATGAGAGATCAAATCAGAAATTCGCTAATTTTTTCGGTATTTGCGGTGAATTTGCTCAAGAGTCCAAACCAAGGACCAAACCCAGTTGCATAATTTAGTTCTTACAGTTCTTGAGGTTCCTGAGATGAGATGAGTTTTACATTATGCAAAGTTTGATCGATTCGGTAGCTAGTGTGGATTTGACAATTCCCTGGCTGAACCCATAGAATTCCCGAATCTTTTAAAGCTCCAGAAACACTAATTCCGAGAAATTCTGGTTCTCGACAACTCTCAGTTCTACAGGATCTTCTCGAACTCAAGCAATCTTTAGACCTCTAGCAAACATTAAGAACTCTACGACTGAAAGAGCTGGATAACTTCCAGATCACTAAGAACTGCAAGGACTCCTTGAACTTCAAACAAAGCATTCATGGGAATTTTGTGAAATTCCGATGCTCTACATAATTTAAGAAAATGTATTTACCAAAATGCTTCTATCAGATCGGATAAAAAAATAACCTAAACATCGCCATTTTTTATATGATTTCACCTTAAAAATTAAGAAACTATGATAACTACAATTTTTAAGATGCTACTTAAATAACTCTATGTAAATCTTGAAAAAAATAAATTTAAAGCCATTGCCAAGCAATTCCATTTCTCACGATGATCTAGATTTCAAAAGTAGGTTGGGAAGATTCTTTAAATGTTTGAGGAGTCTCCGATCGTCTACTTTTGACATTGCTTTGCATATCTGATCAAACTTGACTTGAACTGGAATTTGAAATGCCTTCAAAACATCTGCACTGTTAAAATTGTCTTCCCATTGATTCAACTGCGTTCATACTGAAGACATTTCTTCATCAACATTTCACAAGGGTGAAATTGCGTCTTGTTAGTAGTCGCTTTAACTACCGATTCCTCGCGAACAAAAGCTCACACATGCAAACTAGGAACACCATCAGCTAGGGAAATGTTTCCTCTACCAGCTGATGTAGTTTGTTTACGAAAGTGTGTTTTTATTCGCGAGAAATTGACGTTTGACGTCATTGTTTAAAAACGTAGTTTCGCCATGATTAAACAGATCTAAAGAATACAATGAATTCCAGCCCAAAACACTTGTCCTGCTTGTAATCAAACGCCAGTAAACTTACAACCTCTTCTTATCTCCCTCCTACTTCACGTCCTCATAACACAAATATCAACATTCCTGGCGAAAAGTTGTCACAAATTTCCCACTTTCGACCCGCTTGCCCCAGATTATCGCCATCACCATAGCAATTAGAACCCGACGACGACGACGACTACTGCGATGCACTTGATTGTGCGAGTCTTCTATCCCGCCAACTGCTTCTACCCTTCCGCCTTCATTAGTTCTCCTTCCTAGCTCTCCAAAGCGTCGAATTCGACTCCACTTGCAGAGCACCTCGAGGAGACTTTATTAAATCATTTCCACTAATCTCGGGTCCTAAACGGTCTCAGATTGCCGGAACTAAATCCTACACCTCCAACCGCCGCCCAGCGCTCAACAATAAAGAGCTCGACGACGAACAGACTCTCTCCTTCGCTAAGGCCATCAACATAGCTAAAGGATTGAGCGTCGCCGTCGCCAAGGACCGTGGTTAAAAACGCTTCGCTTGAGCAAGTCATTGGATCCGGCGACAACGACGACGTTGTGTACAACAAAAGCTAATGAGAACAAAATTTTAATTAGCACTAATTGCAGTCATCACCATCCCATTCCGCTTATTTTTATCATAAATATCGCGCTTTGCTCTACGCCCCCAATCTCAACCGCATAACAGGTCTATTATTTTATGCGAGAAATCTTCCTAATGGGACACTACTGTCTTCTACTTAGTCTGGATTTCCGCTGCACATTCAAACCGTGAAACTGAATGTCACCCTTCTCTTTAAAACAAAATCCTAGTGCAAGGCACGAAAGCTTAAGGCAAATGGTGATGATCGACAATGATGACATTTTTTTCCTTCGTTTGTCGTTTATGCCCTCTAAAATAGACTATATCTATAAATTTCGCTACCCTTTCACCCCTAGGGGATGCATTCCATCCTCCCTAAAACGAATTCGGAGTCAAAATCTAATCCTCCTATTTGAATTTGAAAGGGAAAAAAATCATCAAAACCATCCACCCGGCTGACCTGTCTGTCTCCTAGCAGCCGACCGATTGGGAATTTATGTTTATAGGTGCATCGTCGTCATAGCCTGCTATGTACGATGCTGTGATTTGAAAGTGCGAACGGCAACGAACGAATAAACGATTGCTTCGGATTTTTATTGGGATGCTTTTATGCCATCAGCACCACCACTCCACCCGTTTTGATGTTCGCATGCTAGGACATAGCTACAAGCGAACGATGCGTTACAGAGATTCGCCTGCTTAGTTTGTGTATGTATTGGTGGGGAAAATGCGAAGCCATCTAGCGAACACTAGCGGAACGAGATTCAATGTGGTTGGAGAATTCGATAAAACATAGAAAAGTTCACGACCGATGAGACTAGCTCAGAGAGAGAGCCGCTTTTACTCAGTTGTATGAGAAATTTGTTAAAACGTAGCTTACTCAGCGCTACTGCTGTAATCATACACGGTGATATTGACAATACAGCTTAGGTCGCACATTCAAGCTAAAAGTCATCTTCAAGTGACAATCTTGTCTGTGACGGACATGTGCAGTTGTTGTTATTAGCTAAATTTGTAATGAAATTAAAAGAATTATGAAAAACGATTTTATAGAGCCGTTAAAGTGAACAAGCTTCTTTCTCTTTAACTGCCTAATTACACTTTTTGTTACAAGGTGAATGTTTGTCATTGACGAAAAACTGAATAATATTTTGACGAAGATCTTTTTTTTTTGAGTGTCATTTCTTGCAGTGACGATGTTAAAACTAATTTTGTCAATATCGCGTGAAGTATTTCAATGACACACTGAAAACGAATCTTACTCAGAGAGTGAGTCAATTTTACTCACGGATTTACGGATGGAGAAATTTCTAAAATCGTTACTCTTGCGCTAAGTGACCCATGCTTTTAGAAATTTCCCCATACGAATGAGCAATCTTAGTAAGATTCGTTTTCAGTGTGTCATTGAAACACTTCACGCGATTTTTACAAAATAATTTTTAACATCGTCACAGATCGCTTTCAGTGCAACGACAAATTTCAGCGCTGAGTAGCCTAAGTTTATAGAAATTTCTCATATATCTGAGTAAAAGCGACTCTCCCTCTAAGCTAATCTCGTTCGCCGTGAATTTTTAATATTTTAGAATGTTTCTTTAAGTTCCTTAAAAGTTGTTAAGTATTTCATTTGACCTTCGATTATCATTAATTTTTGATCGAAACCTGTTTCATCGAAATCCGTTAAGAACTGACGTAAATTTCTATGATAGAAAAAGGTTGAGTACGTCATGGCATACTATTAAAGCATTTTCAACCATCCTACACGGACGATGAGATCGGCGCAAAGTTGAGTGGTTTTTCACTCAAAACGTAGGATGCTCATAAACTGAGTAAAATGTTGCTCGCTTTTCCGTGAATATCTGCTCGAACATAAGGAAAATCGACGAAAATTTTACTCAGTCTAGGAGTTTTTTCCTGGAAAATCTCGGAAAACTTTACTTAGTCTATGAGTAACCTATACATTCTTGCGAATTTGAGTGAACGAAGCTCAAATTTGTATTGATTCAATCGGCCGTGTGTTCTTCCTGGATAGCCAAGACACATCCACGCTTCGTAACGCACGATGTTTTTTTTTCGGGAGATCCTTCCTAACCAAACCAACCACCCCTTTCCAATTTTCGCCAAAGCAATCTCTTCCATGATAAAGCACACAACAATTTCAATTAATCTCTTTCTCCCTTTCCCCTTCCGGTCTACTTACAGCTCTCGGAGCTCGAGCAAAGGGTCATCGAAGCCGAGGAACGAGCCGAGGAAGCTGAGGACAAGGTAAGAAGAAAAGTGTACCTGTTGCCTGCTTGTGTGAATGTACGTTGTTGAATAATAAAACAACAGCTAAGTAGCAGAGGGGTGGGAATCAAATATCGAAACATCATCATCGGTGGTGCGTCAGCACGGCAGATTGGCAAGTAGGCTTCGGCTAGCATGGGTTGTTTGGAAACGATGAAATCGCCTGGGACGAAAGAAAAACGACAAAGTAAGCGAGGGGAATGAAAAATCGGAATTTCAGAGGGATTCATGAATTTTGAATCAGAGCGGTGTTTAAAGCAGAGTTGCAACGATTTGACGAATCACGGTGATTTTAAATATTCATGAGCAAGGAATTGAAAAGTAAAAGTTAACTTGATGCAATCAAACGGAAAGTTCTAATGTTCGATTTATGTTTTTTTTCCGCATGCACTCTAACCATGAGCATTGTTTAACATGATAATGATCAAGTTAAATCAGGTTTTTAAACTAATGAACTTTCCGAGAAGGGAAATTTCTCATTTATTAATTCAGACCACCAACAGACAGCATAGGTCATAATGATGTTTAAACTAGCAGTAGATTTTAGTAAAAGGCACAACAACAACAACAAAACAATAGTCATAAACAAATACATTTACATAATAATCAATCGTATAAACTAGAGAGAAGCGCGATACTACTTTCGGCGGATAGTTTGTTGGGATAGGTCGAAATCGAAAACGGAAGCTACTCATTGTACACCGATCAAAGCACTATGTCCATAATTTGTTCGTCGGAAAGGTATCCCAAGCATCGCATTATTTCGAAGTGCCCTGGGACGAGCGTTCGAGTCAACCGACTCAAGAATAGCAGGTCAGTTGATTCTTCCATGCAATGGTCCGCTACAACCATAGCCCTAGCGATGTTCCTGCGTGACTGAAGAGTTTCCAAATGAATTAACTGACTTCGACTTCTGTAACTCGGTAACAGGAACGGATCACGCCGAGGAAGCTGAGAGCAAAACGAATGAAGTGACGTTGAACAGATTCAATCCTCTCCGAACCGTTAAGATAGTGCAGATGCCAAACAGCAGAACAGTATTCGAGCTTTGAACGGACCAAAGCAATAAAATGATTTTAAATAGTACATACTGGTAGAATCCTTGGCGACACGGAAGATGAATCCCAAAGTCCTGGATGTCTTCTCAACGACGTAAGAAACATGATCCTTGAACGTTAGTTGAGTATCCAGAACAACTCCAAAGTCCTTCACATGGTCCACGCGCTGAATAACGATACCTTGAAGCTTGTAATCGAAGACGAGTGGTCGATGAATCCGAACGAAAGAGATTACAGAGCATTTTTCAGGATTAACGATCATTCGATTTGATTTGACAAAGCCATGAAGGTGTCTAGTTCGATAGATGAGATCCGTAGGTAAATTTTAAGTTCATCGGCGTAGGATAGCCGACGAACCCTGTGTACGTGGATAATATCGTTAAAGTATATATACCTTGAGGAATTCCAGATGTGGCCAAAAACTCGTTAGATTGGAATCCACCAACTGAAACCGTCAACTAGCGATCGACAAGGTAGGAATTGATCCAGCGTAGAATACCACCACTAATGCTGAGTCTATTCAATTTAGCTATCGTTATAGCGTGGTGGATCTTATCGAAGGCCGCAGATAAATCGGTGTAGATAACTTCTGTTTGTACTCTTTCAGTTAGACTTTCAGTAACGTATGACGTAAAGCACAAAATATTAGTGGTGGTTGACCTACCTGAGATAAATCCATGTAGATCATCACTCAGGTGTTGCTTGCAGTGAGACAGCAGCGGATTCATCACCACTAGCTCGAACAGTTTAGAGATGGCACACAATGACGAGAATCCACGATAGTTGTTAACTCTTTCCGATCGCTTATCTTATGCACGGGAAACATAACGGCAGTTTTCCATACGGACGGAAACACTCCCCTAGTCAGTGACAGCGTGGCCCAAGTATCTTCCACCATAGGAACATTTCTGGCAGCTTGATTAACAAGACCATCAGAAACGACTTCATCACAGAAAGTGCTCGCCTTCTCGGCAAAAAGCTGACACACATTCGAGGGTTTGGAAACAACTTCGCAATTGAAAATCGTGGTCCAAGGGAGGCCTTCCGAAATGACTTCGGGCTCATCTTCAGATTTCGCTGGATGCGTCGGTGATAACGGCTGAAGCAAAGCCGACTGGTAGTCTTGTAAGCGGTGTTCAGTCTCTTACATAGTAATGCTCACGTAACGAAAACGTACGGTATTTGGAATAACGTCTAAGAGCAGCTCTTTTTACCAATAACCTGCCACTCTATTTAAATTGTATTAAGCACGTAGATGCACTTATGTACCTTGATAATTTTAATATCCTTTTATAAAATTACTTTTGCGAGCGCTAGTATTAACGCGTACGTACACATCATTTCACTAACACAGTCATAAAATTGCTATGCTTTCGCTGTAATTTTCAGAACTAATCAAATCGCTGTCAAAAATCCAATTTAAATCCATTTAAATACCGTGTGAAAACTAATTCCATGGAAAACATTATCTAAGACCCTTTACTGTTCAAACCTACGTTTGAGCAAAGATTCAAAGAACTAGGAATGAAATAATCTAATTTATCTACTAATGCTGTACGAATGGTAGATTTCATTTTATCTCGAAAATCATGCTCTCCAGAGAAGATATTGTCTTCATGAAAAGATCTTCCTTTTAGCATAAGAAGTGGCTAGGGTGGTCCTCTTCATTAAAAATTAAAATGCTTAACTTTTTACCTTTAAGATTAAGTGGAATACTGGCTTCTACAAAGATATAGATAATTCAGCACCTTTACTGAAGAAATAAATTCCGTAGGACACTTTTCTCCAAAAGGAGCAGATATGAGCAAAAGCTTAACGCATTCTAAAGAACTGGTTTTTTCAGAACCATCATAACTAAATATAGGAAAAAAAAATATGCATAGAATGATAGTCCTGATGAATGCCTTAGTGGAATATCTTCGAAGGACTTCAAGTGCATGAAAAGACATATTTTGATGCGCGTTTAAATTGCTAGATGTTGTTTTACGAAAGTTATTACAGTTTTTGTGTAAAAAACAATCAATATTGTTTATCATTCACATGTTGCTTTTCTCATCAAGGGAGATAATTAATGTTCCATAGGTTTTGTTAGTTAATTCATGTACTTTCAGAGTATGCGTAAAACTTTTGTTCATGTTTGCTCCTTTTGGAGAAAAGTGTCCTATGGAAATGGATTGTATTTACACAAAAGACATCATAACTTTCGTAAAACAACATCTAGCAATTCTCAAAAACCTTCAAAATCTGCAGTTCGTACTTAAATCTTTGATTTTTATTAGTTAGGTAGGTTCCGATTCAACACATTGTAGTTTCAATTTTATACCTGTGATCTTGACTTTTTTACCTATGAGATGAGTACTTAAGGGGGTTAGATTTTGATAAGTTCTTTAGTGGGAATGACACTGATGAAGACTGCACATTGTAGTCGAAATACGTATTTACGTCATTTACGTCATGGATATCAAAATTTATTAAGTGGAATTAAATGGAAGATAACCTTTTTTGCTGTTTTATTCAAGCATTCCGCTAACAATCCAATTTCATTACTTCATCGAATAAACTTTACAGAGCCAAGTTATCATTTGCGTTATACATAATTAATGTCTTAAATCTAGAGTTAAAGGAATTCAACCGATTACTCGCGGTCGTCTCGAGGTTAGTAGAGATTTACAGTTTTATGGATGGGAAGAGGGAGAAGGAGGTTTGAGTTATGATTTACGATACAAATATTTCATTTTTCCTAAAACATGAACTACAATTTGGTATCCGCAGTGTAATTATAAAATTATTACTGAACTTACCTTACCAATCAGGCTAAGGCCTTGTTGTCCTCTGCTGTCCGAAGAAGTCGTCTCCACTCTACTCGATCCATGGCCACAGTTCGCCAGCCTCGTAGTCTGCGAAGGGTCCGCAGGTCACCTTCTACTTGGTCGATCCACCTTGCCCGCTGCGCGCCTCTTCTTCTTGTTCCTGTTGGGTCGCTTTCTAGAACCATTTTCACTGGGTCGTCGTGCGGCATTCTTACGACGTGCCCAGCCCACCGTAGTCGCCCAATTTTTGCAATGTGGACGATGGATGGTTTTCCCAGCAGCTGGTGCAATTCGTGGTTCATTCGCCTCCTCCACGTTTCGTCATCCATCTGCCACTCCACCGTAGATGGTACGCAACACCTTCCGTACGAAAACACCAAGCATAGTTCAGGTCTCGTGGTCGTAAAGGACCACCGGTCTAATCAGCGTCTTGTAGACAGTCAACTTCGTGCGGCGTCCTCCGGAGTCCAAAGTAGGCACGATTCCCTGCCATAATGCGTCTTTGAATTTCTCTGCTGGTATCATTTTTGGCGGTCACCAGTGAGCCCAAATACACGAACTCATCGACCACCTCTATTTCGTCACCGTCAATCTGAACTCGGGGTGGGAGGCTAACATTGTCTTCCCTAGAACCTCTTGCTTTCATGTATTTTGTCTTTGATGCGTTGATGGCAAGTCCAATCCGTCTAGCTTCAGCCTTCAGTCTGATGTACGTTTCCGCCATCATCTCAAAGTTCCGTGTCATAATGTCAATGTCATCGGCGAAACCAAGGAGCTGTATGGACTTCCTGAATATCGTGCCACTCGTGTCTATCCCAGCTCTTCTGATCACACCTTCTAACGCGATGTTGAACAGCAGACACGAAAGTCCATCACCCTGCCGTAACCCCCTTCGAGATTCAAAGGGACTCGAGAGTGTCCCCGATACTCGAACAACGCACATCACTCGATCCATCGTCGCCTTGACCAATCGCGTCAGTTTATCCGGAAATCCGTACTCGTGCATAATCTGCCATAGCTGATCTCGATCGATTGTGTCGTATGCGGATTTGAAATCGATGAACAAATGATGTGTGGGCACGTTGTATTCGCGGCATTTCTGCAGAACCTG